CCMRGGSCMRGRMCCTGGCACTTGGTCTTGTTGAACCTCGGACCCTCRGGCCCATCGACCCAATCTGTCCAGATCCTTCTGTGGAGCCTTCCTGCYCTCCATCAGATCAACTYKTCCATCCAATTTGGTGTCATCTGCAAACTGGCTGAGGGTGTCCTTGATYCCCCTGTCAGATGAATAAAAAATAATTTTGTTTTGATGATAATAGCAATTGAGGTTCTTTTTAGAAGAGGGAAAGACTCTGTGCAGCTGCACCTATTTCTGATTTGGTGTCACAACTGTTTTGCTATAGTTTACATAGGAGTCAGAGAAAAGTGTACAACTCATGGCTGGCCATGAACATCTCTAGGGAAGGTGAAAGGGTAACATTTGTGTCTTAAGGAGGAAATTCCACTTTTCAGCCAAGTGTCTGAACTATTGTGTATGACCTCCAGTAACCTCAACAGTAGAACCATGAAACCTACACACTTCTCAAGGAGAAAGAGGTTTCATGGATCAAGTATATAATCTTGGAAAGTGACAGACTGCCTTGGGAAATGGGAGGGATCGGTGAAATAGAATTAATGTCATCTTTTTGTGGTAAGATAAGATTTGTTGCTAAAATCRAAGCAATGCTTTAATCTAGTCCAGTACTCTATTTCCAACAACTGCTGAKACTTAGTTATTTAGAGAAAGGTAGGCAGAAACCTTGCAGTAGATAAATAGTAGACAACTAATCTTAAGATGTTKTTTCTCCCTGGTAGCAAGAAAAAAACCTTATGCTTTTAAATATACATTCTAGTAGAGTTGCATCTATTTTTCACCCTGGACTATTGTAGTTCCGGGGTTTGTTTTTTTTTTGTTGTAATTACAAATATCCTATCTCTGGTTTGATAATTCAATTCTTTTTCTCAACATTATTTTTTTTGGCAGTTTCCAAAGTAATCAGAAATATGCTTTATTTTATTGCTTTTGAATTTGACAATTTCAATTTCTCTTGAAGTTTTCTTGGAACTTTTATTAAGGCATGAACAGGAGAAATTCTCCTCTTGAATTGTATGTGTATAAATGTGTATGTGTGTTTATATGTATTATTTTGTATTCTTCTATCATGGCCTCTCTTGCATTGATGCTGCATAGCACAAAAAATAAACAAAGGGCCACAAATAACACACACACACACACATCACACCCCAGTGTTTTCAAAGTTGTTGTGGAAATAATTTTATGTCTATATGTCTTTCCGTCCCTTTTTGTCGGGACAGGAGTCAAAATGAAATGGGAAGTGGTTATCTCCAGCCTTCTTAAAGGAGGCTTCCTTGGSTCTGGGGTGGGATTGCTTGTAGGACATTCTTCAGCCAGTATTTTGTCCATTCAACTTGTCAAGAAAATKTCTTTCTCCAAAATGTATTCTGTTAAGGTTTGTTTAATAACATAAATTAAAGAAAAATTTGTCAATAATTCACATTCTTGATTTTGCAGCTAAATAAATTGCAAGATCTTCATCCTTTGCCTAAGATAATTTTAGAATATCGCCAGGTGAGCTGATRTTTTTCTCAAAATGTAGTTGCATTGAAGGAAATTTAGCAAGACAGATAACATATTCATAGTTAAATAAATAAATAAGTTGGCTCTAGTGCAAGTTCATTCAAATACTAATTGAAGTCAGTATTCTTAAGAGTTTTGGAATTTTAGTGTTTATTGCTGTTTTGCACTATGGTAGATTATAGCTAGCAAACAACTTTGTTGCAAAAATGATTGGAAAACTTTGCTGTTAAATTKGTCTAGTGCTATAAAGCATACTTAGGGCAAAGCATTTATTTTTTGAGTTCTGAAGAAATGCTTTGCATAAAATGAAGGAGGTAATGATGGAGGATTTGGGGGGTAACAAGTCTTCTGAAAATCCAAAACATCCTAGTTAGTCTGCTCCCACACTTAATCTTTAGGCTTTCAAAAAAGAGCTTCCTAGAATTAAAAAAAAA